TGCTCTACTCTTCCCCCTGTCGTAGGAGGAATGGACGAAGAAAGCGGAGCTGTTCAGCCTGGAGAAGAGAAGACTCAGGGAAACAGGACCGCTGGCTTCATGGCTCTGAAGGACTGCCCCAGGCAGAGGGAGCCATTGTGTTCTGACGGGCCGTAGGGGTCAGAACAGCGAGCAGGGGCTTTGGAATCAGACCTGGGTTTGAATCCTGGTTCTGCCATTTCTTAGCTGTGTGGCCTTGGGTAATCACTTGACCTCTCTGGGCCTCAGTTTTCTCTTCTGTTAATTGGGGAGGAGGGTTTCTGGAGGATTCAATGGAATAACATAGGTACAGCCCCTGACCTATAGTAGGTGCTAACAATGTCACTATCCTTCTCATCCCACCTCATCAATCAGTTAGAATTGCAGAGAAGGAGGTCTGAACCAATGAGAGGAAGGACTTTCTCATACTTAGAGCCTTCCTGTAATGAAGGGAGGGAACAAGCTCCATTCATGGGAGTGTGCAAGCAAGGACTAGTGGGGATTCTGCCAGCAGCCGGGAGTTAGATTCAATAACTTTATAATTCTTTGTACCTTGAGACTCCCTCGGTCCCTGGATAGGTGCTGGCTGCATGTTTGTTTATTCTGGGCTTCTCCTACCCCCACCAGGTGCTGGGACCATAGAGAGTAATAGAACCCAGCCTCTTTCCTTAGGTGACCTGGTTGCAGCAGGAGCTCCCTGGGAGCTGAGCTGATCAGGGAAGGCTTCATGGAAGGTGGGCCTGGGGCTGGACAGGATTTAGAAAGGCAAGAGGGGCACATTGCAAGCAAGGTAGCAGAGACAGCCTTAAAATCTGGCTCGAGAGCTCACACTTATATTATCTGTGTACTGTGATTGGTGTGTAGCAGGCACTAGGTATAATATGCTACATTTAATCCACATAAGAAAACTGAGGGCTATGTATTGATACCCCGTTTTGCAAATAAGAAAACTGAGTCTGAGAGGTAAAATGACTTGCTCAAAGTCACACAGTTTAAGCAGTAAAGCAAAGACTCAAACCCAGTTCTGACTGGCTCTAGTGCTGCCTCCACAGAGGTGACCTTATGCTTTTAGGGAGGTGCCTGAGGAAGGCCAAAGTGTGCCCAGGATGGTGCAGAGGGGGACGTTGTGACTCAAGGCCAATCTCATTACCACCAGGCTCAGCAGAAAAGAAACAAGATTGAGGGGACTCTTCAACTTCACAGTGCTAGGCCCTATCACTCTATTACTAGCATACCTCCCCTTCCCCATTTCCTGACCCCCCTAGGTGGCCTAAATGCCCTGTCTACCTCCCATTACATCCCTGTGCCTGCCCGTGGAAGTCAAACACTTTCCCACAAACTGATTGTCAGTGGGAAACCCACACTGTTTCCTCAGGCAGAGGAGTGGAACAGCAGGCCTTGAAGGCTGGGAGAGGAAGGGCAGAATTGACTTGGAGACAAAGTGAGTAGGTGGACACTGAAACCTGGGCTAAATGAGGCCACACCACAGCGGGGCAGCCCCAGGTCCCTGAAGCTGAGTAGATAGTTGGCTTAGGGTTAAGGGCCTTTTAGATTCTGGAGTTTCAGAATAGGAAGGACCTCAGGGGTCTCAATTCCTACCCCCACCTAGGAAGTACCCCTTTGGCCTCACTGATAGTCTCTAGCCCCTGAGCGTACATAGCCCCACCCACCTCTAGACAGATGATTGATTTCCAACACTGTGGATGGCTCTGCCCAGAGAAGGTTTGTCTTCACACTAAACCAAGCCTATCCTGTCCCCTGGAACTCACCCACCAGTGCTACCTCTGCCCTAAGCGTCCACAGAGTCCAGCTGCCCTCAGACCTATCATGCCCTTCAAAGGGCAAGAGGGACACAACCATGACCCTCAGGAGCCCAGGAACTAGTCCTTTCAATCACGTTTTATAGGCTACAGTAAGGAGTCCTGCCTGCATCCCTGTCACCTCCTCTCCAATTTGTGTTCTGGGGTGTGTGCAGTGGCAGGCTTGGGACAGAAGGATTCATCCCCATCTTATGCTGTGATATAGCCTGGGGGTTTAGAGTAAGTCTTTCCCACATCCTGGTCCTTGGCATCTGGGCTGGGGATCCCAAGGACAGTGATAGACATTCCTGGCCTCCTAGACCTCAGTCTTGGAACCTGTGCTGTACGTACTCTTCTATGGGGTCACACTCAGATTCCCATAAGCAAGGCCAGCTCTTGGTTTCCTTGAGGGTGGTACTGGCCTAGCAGAGACCTTGCTGTCACATCTGTTCTTTCTGGCCACAGACCCTGGTGGTAACAGCTGGTGCAACATAGCCCATGTGCTCAGGGCTTTAGCACCATGTGTGGTACCAGTGGCCAGCTCCCCATGGAATTCAAACATCAGGAGATCCAGCTAATACCTCATCACTCCTCAAGGCCTGGCTTAGACTGGGTACACATATATTTGCTTATCCATCCATCCATCCATCCATCCATCCATCCATCCATCCATCTATCCAGGGATTCATTCATTCATTCATTCATTCATTCATTCTACATGCCTAATGTGGGCCAGGCTCAAGGGGACCCAGATAGGCAAGCCCTTCAGAAGTTCCAAATCTGTTAGGGGAAGCAAGAATAGATACAGTCTTAGCACATTAGAAATAAATACAATCACCAACACAAACCAAGAGCTATGCATAGTTGTAGCTTGCTCATTGGAAGTTATAACTACCTGAGGTGGGAAGTGAGGGAGGGATCAAGAAAAACTCCCAGCTAAGGCTTGGAGGATGAGTAGTTCCCCTGGTGGAGTTCCAGCAGATAAGGTGGCATATATAAAGGCTTGGCCCCTCAGGGATCTTCAAATAGTTGGTTAGGGCTGGAGGACAGGCAAGACCACTTAGGGGGTCAGGTGAACTGAGCCCTGCTCTGAAAGAGGGCCTACAACTCTAACACTTAGTGTTCTGGTGTCCGAATAAGCGTGCCTATTGATTTTTATCATATGTTCTATGCTCAGCAAATCCATACAAGTCTGGCAGCTTTCCTCCCTTCCTCCCTTCTTCCCTTCCTCCCTTTCTCCCTCCTCGCTCTATTCTACACTGTAGATAGGTGAGTGATGTAAGAACAGGATGGAGATGAGGACAGGGGCAGGGCCAGCGGCAAGATGACGGGAGGTTAGGGAAGGGAAATGACAGGGCAACATGTATATTTTCAAATGACCACAGTTAGGATCACAGGTTAGAGAGGGAGTAAAAATGATCAGAAATCCAGTGCAGTGACCCAAGCAAGACATGATGGGACCTGAATCGGGAGAGCAGCAGTGGGGAGAGGAGAACAGACTCAAAATATGTAGGAAATTTAGTCAGCAGGCTTTGGTGTCTGATCAGAACAGGGGAGGGGAGGAAGGTGACTGGGTTCATTCCAAGTCTAAGTTCCCTCATTTCCCTGATGTACGGCCCTGCCTTTCCTGCTTATGCCCTTGTCTCTGCCCTCAGGAATCTTCCACTTGATTCAGATCAAGAAAGTCAGGAAGCAAGACTTCCAGAAAGAGGCACAGAACTTCCGGCCACTCACCAGCACCCACGAAGGTGGGACCTTGGGCTGAGGTTGGGGCTTGGGAAGAGAGCCTGGCTAGAGGCCAGGGCCTCTCGGGGAGTTCCAGGCTGCTGGTGCCAGGAGGGGGGGCTGTCAGCCACAGACGTCAGTTCCCGGCACAGGAATCCAGTGGGCGTCTGAGCCAGAGATTTCTCAACTCCGGTGCTTGGGGCTTGGGAGCGGGAGAGTGAAGCAGAGCCTGCTGGATTTGGTCTTGGGGTGGGGGACACAGGGTTGTAGAGGAGGGAGGTCTGAGCCCCAAACCCGGGTTTTGCCTCCTTCCTTTTTACTTGGACATTTCCCCTTGAAAGCCTCCTAACCACTTCCTTCTGATGCCCTCAATTTGGTCTATACTAGTACACTGAGGAAGATGGACCCAGGTGGGACCGCAGGTTGGGGGTGGGAAGTTACACATGGGAGTGTCACGGAAAGGTATCAGGAAAACAGCCCAGCCTCCAGTTGTTGGTTTATTGAAGGCGGGGTCAGAACTGATCTAGATATGGAGGTATGATGGGGACGCCCACTTCCTTCTTCCCTGTGGGATCCAAACCTAGGTCTATGCAGTCCTCCTCACTCTGTTTTTCCCACACGTCATTCTGCCTCTGTGGTGCACACACACCACACCCCCCACACACATACCACACATCTCTACGCATGTGTGCATGTGCGTGCGCACACACACACACCCCTACACGTATACCTACACACACAACTCTTCTGCTTTCCTCCATGCAGGTCACTGGAACGTCTTCCTAGCCCAGACCCCGGAGCTGAAGGTTATGACCAGTTCAGACAAAACGACCAAGACCTTATAACAAAGACCTAAATAGTTGCAGATATGAGCTTTATCATTTTTGTTATTATATATTAATAAATAAGTTGCATTATCCCTCAACCCTGCCTTCTGAGTTCATATCCAGTCTCCCTGTGGTCTCCCAATTGATTCCAAGGCAGGCCTGGTTATCCCCATTTTACAGAGCTGGAAACTGACATGCAGCAGGGGAAGAGACTGGACCCTGTCCTCACGGTGGGTTGTTACCAGAGCCAGGGCTAGTTCTCCCAGCCTCTTCGACCAGGCCCTTGTCTGCCCCCATGGCCTGTACTACTTCCATCCCCAAGCCCCAGCACAGCACTTCTGCTTTTATAGGCAGATCCCCTACCAGAGCTCTTTGGCACTGAGCATAAAAAGGGAGATTGACTCTAGTTAGCCAGCTGAGGGGGTGAATGTAGCCTCAAAGCACTTTCCCAGCAAATATTCCAGGGATGTTTGCAATTGTCAGCCACACTTTTCAATGAGGAAGCTAAGTTTTGGGAGGAGCAATAATTTGTCTGAAGCTGCAGAGCAGGGTAGTTAGTACAGATTTGGAAGTGGATGCCAGGTCTCTTGCTCCAGGCTAGCACTCCTCTCCCATTCCACCGTGACCAATGTCATAAGTCCAAATAGTCTCACCTCAGAGGATTTCGAAGACTTGGCAGTCAGATTGCCAAGGCTGGCACCACGGTCTGGGGAGGCCTAACCGTTACCATTAAAGACAACATCAATAATTTATGTTGCCCACATATACAGTTCGTCGTGATTTCAAAGACATTTTAATGCCTATGATTCCACTTAATGTGAAATGTAGGAATTACTCCCATTTTAAAAAATGTATTAATTTAAAAAATTCCCATCCCCTCGTCTCCCGTCCTTTTGGAAACCATCAGCTTGTTCTCTACATCTATGGGTCTGTTTTGTTTTGTTTATTCATTCATTTTGTTTTTTTAGATTCCACATATAAGTGGAATCATACAGTATTTGTCTTTCTCTGGCTTATTTCACTTAACATTAATACTGTCTAGGTCCATTCATGTTGTTGCAAATAGCAAGATATCATTTTTTGATTGCTGAATAATATTCCATTGGGCATATATGTATATGTATGTGTATATACACATACATATACATATATACACATATATACACATACGTGCTTATATATATATACATACACACCACATCTTTATCTGTTCATCTGTTGACAGACATCTAGTTTGCTTTAATGTCTTGGCTATGACTAGTACTGCTGCAATGAACATAGGGGTGCAAATACCTTTTTGAGTTAGTGTTCTTGTTTTCTTTGGATAAATACTCAGAAGTGGAATTGCTGAATCGTATGGCAGCTCTATTTTTAATTTTTTTAGGAATCTCCGTGCTGTTTTCCATAGTGGTTGCTCAAATTTATAATTCTACCAAGAGTGTACAAGGGTTCCCTTTTCTTCACATCCTTATCAGTACTTGCTATTTGTTGACTTATTGATGATAGCCATTCTGACAGATGTGAGGTGATAACACCTTGTGGTTTTAATTTGCATTTCCCTGATGATTACTGATGTTCAGCATCTTCTCATGTATCTGTTGGCTATCTGTATGTCCTCTTTGGAGAAATGTCTATTCAGGTCTTCTGCCCATTTTTTATTTTTATTTTTATTTTATTTTTTAATTAAGTTTATTGGGGTAACATTGGTTAATATAATTATATAATTTTCAGGTGTACATTATAATTTGACATCTGTATATTCTATTGTGTGTTTACTACCCAAAGTCCAGTTTCCTTCAGCTACCATATATTTGATCCCCTTTACCCACTTCACCCTCCTCCTACTCCCTTACATTTGATCCCTTTTACTCCATCTTTCTGCTCATTTTTTAATTGGATTTTTTTTCTTTTTCTTTTCTTTTCTTTTTTTTTTTTTTTTGGTGTTAAGCTGTATGAGTTCCTTATATAGTTTGGATATTAACCCCTATTGGATGTATCATTTGCAAATATCCTCTCCCCTTCAGTAGGTCATTTTTTTGTTGTTGTTGATGGTTTCCTTCATTAGTTTGATGTAGTTCCATTTGTTTATTTTTTTTTCATTGCCTTTGCCCAAGGAAGCATATCTAAAAAAATATATCTCTAAGAGTGATGTCAAAGAGTTTACTGCCTAGATTTTCTAGGAAGTATATTGTTTCAGGTCTTACATTTAATTCTTTAGTCCATTTTGAGTTTATTTTTGTCTAAGGTATAAGAAAATGGTCTAATTTTATTGTTTTGTATGTATCTGTCAAGTTTTTCCGACACTACTTACCCCATTGTATATCCTCACCTCCTTTGTTGTAGATTAATTGAACATTTAAGCAAGGATTTATTTCTAGGATCTCTATTCTATTCAGTATGCCAGTACCATACTGTTTTGATTATTATAGCTTTGTAGTATAGTTTGAAATTGGTGTGCATGATATCTCCCACTTTGTTCTTTCTTAAGATTTTTATTTTTATTTTTGGCTATATGAGATCTTTTGTGATTCCATATAAATTTTAGGATTAGTTGTTCTAATTCTGAGAAGCATGCTGTTGGTATTATAGTAGAAATTGCACTGAATCTGTATATTTAGGTAGTGAGGATATTTTAACAATATCAGTTCTTTCCATTCATGAGCAAGGTATATCCTTCCATTTATTTGTGTCTTCTTCAGTTTCTTTCTCAATGTCTTAGAGTTTTCAGAGTGCAGGTCTTTCACCTCTGGTTGAAAATACCTAGGAAATTTCTTTTTAGGTATTTTACGCTTTTTGATGTAATTGTAAATAGGATTATTTTCTTAGTTTCTCCTTCTGATTGTTTGTTGTGGGTGTATAGAAATGTGACGGATTTCTGTATATTGATTTTATATCCTGCAACTTTACTGAATTCACTTATTCTAATAATTATTTTTGCTGGAGTCTTTAGGGTTTTCTATATATATAGTATTATGTCATCTATACATAATGAGAGTTTTACTTCTTTTCCAATTTGGATGCCTTTTATTTCTTTTTATTGCTGCAACTAGGATTTCTAATACTATGTTGAATAGAAGTGGTGATAGTGAGCATCCTTGTCTTGCTCCTGATCTTAGAGAAAAGGCTTTCAGCTTTTCACCATTGAGTATGATATTAGCTGTGGATTTGTCATATGTACCCTTTATTCTTTTAAGATATGTTCCCTCTATATACCCACTTTGTTGAGAGTTTTTATTATAAAAGAATGTTAAATTTTGTCAAATGCTTTTTCTGCATCTATCAAGATGATCATATGGTTTTTATTCTTTATTTTGTTAATGTGGAGTATCATGTTGATTAATATATGGATGTTGAACCCTCTTGAATCACTGGGATGAATCACACTTGGTCATGGTGTATAATCCCTTTAATGCATTGTTGAATCTTATTTGCTAATATTTTGTCAAGAATTTTCACATCTATGTTCATCAAGGATATTGGCCTGTAATTTTATTTTTTAGCAATATCTTTGACTGGTTTTGGTATCAGGGTAATTCTGGCTAAGAATGAGAAGCATCTCTTCCTCTTCAATTTTTTGGAATAGTTTAACAAAGATAGGTATTAATTCTTCATGAATGTTTGGTAGAATTCATGTGTGAAGTCGTCTGGTCCTGGACTTTTGTTTATTGAGAGTATTTTGATTACTGCTTAAATTTCATTGCTAATAATTGGTCTGTTTACATTTTATATTTCTTCCTGGTTCAGTCTTGGAAGGTTATATACTTCTAGAAATCTATCACTTTTTTGTAGATTGTCAAATTTGTTGGCATATAATTATTCATAGTATTCTTTAATGTTTCTTTGTTTTTCTGTGGTGTTGGTTGTAACTTCTCTTTCATTTATGATGTTATTTATTTGGGATTTTTTTTTTTTAGTGAGCTTGGCTAAAGATTTGTCAATTTTATATATCTTTTTAAAGAACCAGCTCTTAGTTTTATTGATCTTTCCTGTTGCTTTTTAAATTTCTATTTCATTTATATCTGCTCTGATCTTAACTATTTCCTTTCTTCCATTTACTTTAGATTTTGTTTGTTCTTTTTCTAGTTCCTTTAGGTGCAGAATTAAATTGTTTATTTGAGATTTTTCTTGTTTCTTGAGGTAGGTCTATATAGCTATGAATTTCCCTTTAGTACTGCTTTGCTGCATCCCATAAATTTTGAAAAGTTGTGTTTTCATTTTCATTTGTCTGGGTCTCTGGGTTTATCTTGTTTAGATCTGGATGTCTGTTTCCTTTCCCAGGTTAGGAAAGTTTTCAGCCATTATTTCTTTAAGTAAAGTTTCTGTTTCTTCTCTTTTTTTCTTTTTCTGCAATCTCTATAATGCGAATGTTTGAGTGCTTGATGCCAGAGGTCTCTTAAATTATTCTCTTTCTTTTTTTAAATACTTACTTTCTGCTGTTCTGATTGGTTGATTTCCACTAATCTGTCTTCCAGGTCACTAATCCATTCTGTGTTAGCTAATCTGTTGTCGATTTCTTCTGGAGTATTTTTTTTATTTCAGTTATTGTATTCTTCATTGCTGCTTGATTCTTTATTATACTTTCTAACTCTTTGTTGATGTTCTTCCAAGTTTCTCTTTCAGTCTCAAGTTTAGTGAGCACCCTTATGACCATTTCTTTGAATTCTTTATCAGGCAAATTACTTATCTCTGTTTCCTTAGGGTTTCCGCCCCACCCAGAGATTTTTCTTGTTCCTTTATTTGAGAAATAGTCACCTGTCTTTTCATTTTCTTTGACTTTCTATATTTGTTTATTTGAATTAGACAAAATAGCTGTCTCTCTTAGTCTTGAAAAAGTATCCTGATGTAGAAGCAGCTTCTGTGTAGGCTGTGTGTACTGGATGCTTTAAACTGGCTAGTAGGAGCTGAGCAGGTACCTAAGACATCTGAGGCTCTAGCTTACCTAGCTAGAACAGCTCCAGGTGAGGAGGCCAAGCGCATGTAGTAATGTCCTGTTGATTGTCCTTGCTTTCTGTGTTTGGGGCCAAAATGCATTTGGATGATGTGTCTA